GAGAAGACAGCTGATATATCAGTTTAAAACACTCTGCAGAGACTATTCATCTTTACCCATGAGTCGTGATTTCCATATGCCAGGGGTCATGAATCCCATATCACCTCTTCCAAGGAAGTGCGGCAGGGTACACTACGAAGCTTTCCCCAATCATTCTAATAAATAGCAACCACTAAGGTTTCAGCCAACCGGCCATCATGGAGCCCATCCTCCAAAGTGGCACACGTGCTCGCAGCATTATACACACGATGGCAGGATAAGACCCATAACCATCACAGCACTCCCCTCTTGCCTTTTTGGTAAGTTGCAACAAACTAGAACAGAGCAAGGTACTAGACTAAGACCAGAGCCATGTGGTCCTCACGGTTGAACTATAAGTCCTGAGTTGCCGCTTAAAGATGAGTCCTTATGGAGAGAAACTAGAGCACCAAAAGAAAGGCCCAATGCTCTAACCCCCTAGGTTCCATGTTGCTAAAAAGCATATTTTAATCACCAGTTGCATATATCTTTAGTCAAGTTCACATCTTAGTTATTTGTAGAAGCAAGCTAAGCATATTACCCACATGCAACATCCCATAGGTAAACAAGGATTAGGTATCAATATCAAGGTAGATAAACTCTAGGCGGTTCAATAACACATGCATATGAATAGTAATGTATTAAAGGTGACTAGGTAATCAAGGAGCCTCATATTATAGTTGCCTTCTTCAAAGTTTTGCTGCTGGTCTTGATCCTCAAAGGGTTGCTCCAGATCACTAATGGAAAACTCACTGTCTACTCGAGATCAAACAGCACCACACAAGCATCCATACATACATGCATAACAAACAAATATAGACTAATTAGAACAGTACACTAAACATTATAAAAAGAGGTTAAAATGTTTTAAAACTGTTCTACGCGATGCTACGAGCATACAGCCACGAAAAGCACTCGAATTGGAGTTAAAGCGGAGAATCTAGGCTTAAAACAAGGTTCAGTGGTAGTTTCATGATTTTCAAACCGGATCTATACGTAATTTTGACAATAAACACGAGGTCTAACTTATAAAACTACCTCTGTGGAGTGCGGGTTCTATTTTGATAAAATACAGGGGTTACAACGGAAGCAAAAGGACTAAGTTTGAATTACTTTTGAACTAGATCTGACTACGGGTTCATTTTGAAAAACACAGAGGTCTCTTTTGCAAAAAAAGATAGGGTTGACGCGGTTGACCGGTAAACGGGATCTAATCTGGGCCGTAGATTTCGATCTAGACGGTGGAGATTAGAAGGGGAAGAAGGGTTGCCGGCACAGTGACGGCGACAAGGACCTCCATGGCCAAAAACCCCGGGACCTCGCTGGAGTTCGTCGAAAACGGCGTAGGGGCCTCGGGTTGCATCGGGGAAGGCACGGATATGAAGAAATCGTCACGGCTAACTCGATGGGAGTATCGGTGACGATGGCGGACGGCCAGAGACGGTGCAGAGCTCGGTATGGCGAGTCGAGGCACACGGTGACGCTCCGTCGAGCTCTTCCAGGCGGCACAGAGCGAGAGATGGCTAGCAGACGGTACCTACAGGATCCTCACCTGATTCCAAAGACCGGCAAGGGGCTAATGATAGTGGCGAAGATGCGGGGAAGGAGATCGATGGGCGGCGGCGGTTTAGGGTTTGGGGAGCCCGGGACGCACGGTCAGGGCACGGCGGAGGCTGAGATGCGGCTGAAAAGAGACGGTGTGGCGTGGCGATCTCGGATTTATAGGGTGCTCAGCTTGCGCCTCACGTAGAGAAATCCCGAAACACCCGGGATTTGGACGGCGATTTCCATCGGGACAGAGCCCGGCTCGGTCACGGCGGGGATGAAAGGGGAAGGGAGGCTGACAGCCGGGCCCCAAGCGTCAGAGAGCCAGGGAGGCGGGGTCCATGCGGCAGAGAAACAGAGAGAGAGAGGGTGCGGCTGGCGCTTGGGCCCTGCGGTTGGGCCTGCTACGCCACTTGGGCAAAAAGGCCGGAGCAGGGGAGAGAGGTGGGAGGCGTCGGGCCAAGGCCTTGGGCCCGCGGGAAAGGGTCGAGAGGAGGAGTGAGGCCTGGGAGAGAGCAGGCCAGGCCTGTTGCCTGGGCCGGAAACAGGGAAAGGGTGGGAGAGATAAAAAGAAATGTCTTTTTTTCTTTTCTTTCAAAGCTTTTTGCAAAACAAGTTTAAATTAGTTTTGAATTTAAGTCAAAACCACTCATCCCAAAAACACAAATGCAACAGCATGAATGCATAAACATGTTGCTAACCTTATAGTTGATTTTAAATAAAAATATTTTTTTGCCTATGTTTTAATGTGAACGACAAAGCATAAACAAATCAATTTAACTTATTTAATAAAGTGCAAATTTTAGGGTGTTACACATGTGAGCTAAGTCAGGGCTTCCCTAACGCAACATTACTATGGCATGCTGCCTCGTCATTCGTGTTTGCAGCGAGCATCCATGTTGTAGGGAGTAGTTATACGGCTCTGTTCAGCTGGTTTATAAGCCGCGCGTGCTAATTTGTATGGCTAATTTATTGTGAGAGAAAAACACTGTACCATAGCTGATAAGCTAGTTGATAAGTTCAAACGAACATGCTTGTAGGCTGTCAGAGGTCTCTACTCCTTCGTCTGACAAAAGACGCAAGCATCAATTGGAGATTGCATCACAGCGAAGGAGGCACTGCATGTTAGGACTCCATGTACTCCCTTCGTCCAAAGTAGGTGTCGTTCTCGTTTTTTCAGAAGTCAAAAGCTTTTAAGTTTAACTAAATATATACAGGAAAATATTAATATTTATAGTATATAATTAATATTATTAGATAGATCGTTGAATCTATTTTCAAAATAAACTTATCTAGAGATAAAAATATTACTAATATTTGCTATAAATCTAGTTAAACTTAAGTACAATTACCGTAACCACACTTATTTTGGGAGGGGGGAGTAGAAAGAGAGAGAGAAGCGAAACAATAACACATGTATTGTCAGATTTAGATGAACAGCTTCCGATGGCTATCCTAGACATTCCTGCTCATATGAGTTGCCGTTTTTGGCTACAACCACCAAGTTTGTTCGCCTACGATGATGGTAAAGCCGAAGGGGCGCAGGAACCTTTTTTTTTCCGGGTCTTGATCTTGGCTACATACCTATTGCGTGGGAGCCATAGCGCACGGGCTCCTGATCCATCGTTTATCCATCAATTTTGCGTGAACGGCCGGAGGACGAAGAAAAAAAGAAATATTTGAAGCAATCGTACTCGTAGCTTACCGCACCACCAGATTCTCTACAGCCGGTACGTACGTGTCCACAGATACTGGCCGGGACTGGTACCTTGGATCTAGCGGTGGTGTGCATGTGAATGAACAGTGAAAAGGGCCTTTCTACGCTACGCTACGCTAGTACATTTGCCCCGTGCTCTGAGCTGCCCATGTTACGGTCTCCCTACTCCGATTCCCGGCGTCTTGCCTGTGCCCCACTCCATCTTTTACTCGTTTTCGTCATCAGAGGCATGATGTGCAGCGGCGTACAGCATTTTATGCGTTTGGTTACTTATATAGAGTTAATATACGTGAAGTATTATTAAGCCCCCTTTGAACAAAGGATTAGCCATCCTGGAATCCTACAAAATTTCTATGGAATGGCTCAATTCATAGGAATTTTGGACAAAATCTAACATGAGCTCCGACCTCTTGAAAACTTTCCTTTGTGTCTCTCTCTCTTCTAACTCCTTTGTTTCTCCAGAAGTTGTATCCAAATACACAATTAGAGAATTGTGTTTTCTCCTGTGTTGTATCCAAATACTCCAAATACTCAATTAGAGAATTTTCTACGTGTAGGATTGCAAGTGACGTGGTCCAATCCTATTTTTTTTCTATTTCTATGTTTTTTTATATCTTGTGTTCCAAAGGGATCCTTAGATGGCTTTCGTTAGGAATAAAGCACTCCTATAGTTATTTTTCTGATGAGATGCTTTTATTTCTTTCTCCCTGAAAGTCTGCTACGTACAACTGTTATCACGAAAGGTTCCCCTTGGATTTGCATGCCATTTAATCTAAAGTAACCGTTCAGTTACACTAACCGAGGTTAAATGAGGCATGCATTCACATCTTTGCCAGCCTTGTTCTGCTCGTGAAGCTCTCTCTCTTCCCGCGTTCAAACACTGCCAGCCACAGCCAGGAGGAGTATCTGCTATGCATGCCATCTCTCGTCTCATCCTTGTATTTTTTTTTTATTTTACCTACAATGGGGCAGGCATGTTGGCACACACATGGACCGTGCTTCATGTATGCAAAAGTCAGTCACCCAATACACATTTCCATGGCTCGCCACTCCCAACGGTCTGAGGCTCTGAACAACGTTCCTCACCCTACAGCAAGCTACAGCAACTCATCAGTATGGTCCATTCGCTTCGCTGAAGAAATAAACTGAAACACTGTTTCAGTTAATTTGTTGTGAAAGAAATACATTGTTTTGGCTGAAAAGACAAACTGAAAAATATGGATTATAAGACAAACGAACATGGCATATGCTGCACGCATCATCAGGGGAGGGGCATGCCCTCACCGCCCAAATGGATGAAAGAGTCTTTCCGAAAAGAAGTCTAAAAAAGCCAAGAACAAGCAACAAAGGCAATGTTCAAGAAAAGAAGGGAAAGCACATACTACAATCATCGTGCCCTTCCTCAAATTGCTTTTCTTTCTTTCTTGGCACACAATTTAATCGATTCAATTGTTTTTTCCTACCAATTCCCTGCCTAGGTATACAAGAACAAGATGAATGAGATGCGTACTGTGTGGTTGGTCACCAAAAAATCACCTCCTACCTAGTACCTAGAATTACAAGGCCACAATTAGTAGTGTACTGGTAGTAAAAACAAAAATAAAACGGATGCCCAAAACTTCCCTTTTTTTCTTGGCGTAATTTGCAAGCCAAGACAAGATTGGATCGTGTGGTCGGGCGGTGACTGTTTTGGAGGACTCAACAATGGATGTCCGCACGGCTAGAGACGACGACGACGACGACGAGACGACCCCTTCTTGCGGAGGATAACCTCGGTGTCGAGCCCAAACGCATCGACCTTGGAGACCCGCACGACGTCGCACCGCGGGAACAGCCCGACGAGTCCGCGCACGTCGAGCAAGTCATTGGCGGAGTACTTGTCCCCGCGCCGGTGCACGGCGACGTGGAGCACGGCGACGCCCCCCGGTCGCAGCGTGCGCTCGACCTCGGCGGCGAACCGGTCCGGGTACAGCGCGTGGTCGAAGACGTTGGAGAACTCGAAGTCGAAGGTGGCGTCGGGGAAAGGCTGCGCGTGGAAGTCGCCGCGCGCGACGAGCGGCGGTGCCGGGGCCAGGTCGATGCCGAGCGCGCCCCGGACGCCGACCTGCCGCAGCGCGGCCACCTCCTGGCCCAGGCGCGCGCCGACGCAGAGCGCGCGGGAGGCGTCGGAGAGGAGGCCCTCGTCACGGAGCCCCGCGAAGAGGCGCGCGAACGCGTCCACCTTCCGCCGCCAGTCCCGCGTCGCCCACACGCGGCGGAGACGCGGGTCCAGCGTCTTGTTCAGCTGGTGGCGGAGGTAGTCGTCGTAGGACCGGTACCGCGACCGCCGCATCCGGATGTGTGGGGACGGCGGGGACGGGGTCAGCGGCACCGTGGTGGGGGTGGTGGCAGTTGTGGAGGCGACGGTTGTTGCGGTTACGGAGAGGCCTGCAGGGCGCGAGGAGGTGGAGTAGACGTAGAGGTGGAGGAGGAGGAGGGAGAGGAAGGGGAGCGCGAGGAGGAGCGGACGGGCGGGGACCACGGCCGCGCGCGGGGGCTTGGAGGAGTCGGCGGCGGCGGCCATGGCGGCGGGTGGCGATGCTCGCGGCGTCGTGGTTAGCAAGGCCGCCGCATGGCGTGCGGTGACCGGTGGGTGCGTGATTTGCTTTTGGGTTTTTTTTCCCCCCTTTGTCCGGGCGAGGGCGAGACAGAGATGTGGACGCGTGCTGTCGTGAGCTGTGCTGTTGGGGACGGATAGGGATAGCAATGCGGTGGGCCCCGTCGCCGCCCCAATTTTAGGCCGCCCAACCGGCACATGGAACGGAAGTGGGCCTGGCCGGCCGCCTGAGTAGCGAACCCATGTTCACTTGCGCTTATCTCACGTGGCCACTTGCCTGTACCTAAACTTTAGTCGTCTCATCAGCAGTTTAGGCACGCGTATAGAGTATTAAATATAGATTTATTATAAAATTAATTGTTTAGTTTATGATTAATTTATGAGTTAAGACTAATTAGTTCATGATTTGACAATGTGTTTCTACAGTAAAGATATGATGATGGTAGATTAATTAGCCTTAATAAATTCGTCTCGTGGAGTACTGATAGATTCTGTAATTTGTTTTTTTTATTAGCATCCAAATACCCTATGCGACACCCTCACGTGACACCTCCTAAATTTTAGTCACCGAATCCAAACACCCTCTAAATCAATCATCAATTTATGAGGACGGGTTCCACTAATCATATCATGTGCATATCTATATCTCTAAATCTACGTCTATATCTACCCATCTATATTTATATCTGCATCTAATCTACTCTAAATCTAAGTCCAATCGTCCATATGTAATCTACATCTAGACCGTTGAAATGGGTCCATCAGAGTGGGCCGACCAGCCTGTCTGCCATCAGTCTGTTTGTTTGGTCGTATTTAGCTTATAAGCCATGATTTATCAGTCAATAAACAATATTTTTCTCTCACACCAAACCAGCCAATGATACTCTTAGACATAACTTATAAATCAAACCACCTCAAACGAACAGGGCGCACGTTGGTTCCCTTCATGGACACTTATTGCTTACCTTTAACTGTTGCCATGAAGTGTAGCAGTAGTAGTGCTGGTAAATCATAAATTAGCATCAATTTATAAGAGAACTATTTCGACTAATCATGACATGTCCATGTCCAAAGGCGTAAAGCGTCATAGCTACTCATAAATACTCTTCGTTCTGTAACATAGTATATCAAAAAAAGTTAAAAGACATATGTGCTCTCACTTCATTTTTCAATCTAACGTTATCATTAGCGTGACTAATGGAAACTAATTAATAATAACAAGTATTGATATAGAACCTGATTGGGTTGGCTTCCAAAAATGTGCCAAATCAAAGAATTGGCAAGCCATGATTTTGGCAATTATTTGGTTTGTTACCAAAACTTGCCAACCTCTCACGTTTGGCTTGTCAAATCTATGGCAAATTTTTTACATAACTTTGGCTTGTCAAATTTTTGGCATGGTAAATTTGGTCGCAAACCAATTAGACCCATAATGCATATCAAATTTGTTATAATACATACCAAAATTACGCAACTATTAAATACAAAATAGCCAAACCAGAAGATACATACAAAATAGCCAAATTTTTTTGTATGTATCTTCTGGTTCATACTACCTCTGTCCCAAAAGGAATGCAACTACGGGTTGCATGCCAACTAAAGTGGTTCACATTTGACCAAGTTTCTAATGAATAATATTCACATTTATGGATCAAAATTAATTTATTATGAAAATACATTTCACACTTAATCTAATGGTATTTATTTGATATCATAAATATTGATACTTTTTATTTATAATTGATAGAACATGAGATACTAAAACATGATACTGTGCTAGAATTGTATTCTTTCTGGGACGAAGGGAGTATTTTTCGGCACAAGATCTAGAAATATGTTGTTGTTGTTTACATGCACATGTTGTTCAAACCGGTTATTAATAATAAATACAATTTGATACCCTATACAAAACTTGGCCACATTTCTTCGAGGGCAGAGAATCGTTGAGGGATACAAGATAATTCTCAGTTACGGACCCAACCAATACATGGGTCCGTGCACCGTAGCCGTCACTAGTATAGAAACGGGCTTTACTCCCGGTTAAAAAACCCCTTCAGTTCCAGTTTCCCAACCGGAAGCATCAATCTAAGACTAAAGGGTCTCTCCTTTAGTCCCGGTTTCTCGTCTAGGACTAAAGGTGCACCTACCAACCGGGACTAAAGAGGCCTCCCGGTCTGGCCACGTGGGACGGCCCTTTACCAACCAGGACTAAAGGTTTCCTTTTTCTTTTTTTGTTTCTATTTTCAATTGATGATTCATTTTGGTTTTTGAATAGGTTTTCGAATACGTATTCTACGCTGCTAATAATATACGTATTCTACATGTTTATAATATTCGAATATTTTGTACAAACTAAAGTATGAAACTTACTTATATATTACATGCATATACATACGTTATTTTATGTACATATAATATGTATATATTTATTACAAATAAAGCTTGTATTGTATATTCTATCATATCCTTGGGATAATAAATTCACTCCATCTGGTTTGGCTTCCATGTTTCGTTAACGTCATTGTAGAACTCGCCGGCAGGGTTGAGGACCTGGTCATTAAGAAATCCTACTATAGTCTCTTGAATTGCTTTCAGTTGGTCACGTCGTATGACTTTTGCTTCAACCATAGAGTCTTCAATAAAAGTTAAAGGAAGAGTATTAATATATATATATATATATATGTTGGTCACGTGATTACTTATATATATGAGCAATAAAAGGAATTGTGAATATATGAATATATTTATATAACATCCTTTGAGGTTCTCTTCACGAGTTCTTTTTGAGTACGTCATGATGAACTCGCAAACATAGTATCCGCAGTAGTTGTTCCCCTGTTGTTGCCTCAGAACCCACTTTTACGAGAAAAAAGATCCGGTGAATTAAAACATGCATGGTGTTAATTGAATTATATATATAAATGTAGCTAATACTTACTTTGTGTGCGATTACATCCAGTGGCGCTTTGCAATGTTTCATGTGGTGTTCCTCAATGAAACTTTTCCAAACATTGCGCCCAATAAAATAAAAAATTAATTTGGCCTTTAATAATTGTTGCAGTTAAGAGATCGGGGTATATATAGTTGTTAGAGAGACCAAATTACCCTTGGATAATATCTATCATGTCTTGGTACTCTGTTTGCTCTTTTCTTAACGAGTCTAAGATGCTCAACCGACTATTGGTCATATCGATGACCATCAATATCCAGTGATTGCTGCATATATTTTTATACACAAATATGATCGACATTAACTAGAGTCAACATATATATATGGGAGATAGCTTAGCTAGTAAGCAAATAATTGAACAAATGTTCATATGATCGACATGAATTATTTAACACTCACTTAAAGTTGTAGGGGAAGAGTATGTCCTTGTTTGTTTTGTTGGTTCACTAATCACAATCATCATGAAAATAAGTATAAATTAACCATAATCATCAAATTCGACAAAATAACTCACATTGCAATCCGAACACTTGTAAAAGATACGGCCTTTGTTGGGACATTCTTTCCTCATCCGATACTCTATCATAATCTTCTCCTCACACTTGCCGCATGCAATGAGAGGGAGGTCCGGCCTCAGTCGCTTTGGAACTCAATGAGAGGCCGATGACCCAGAAGCAGTTGCCATCTACTCTCTATACTCATTTTTAATATAATATAAATTTCTCATTTTATAAACAAATAAAATTAAAAAAACTCTAAAATTCTCTATATCTCTAAACCATGAAGTTTGCTATGCATGCTAGAAATGAAAGCTGAATACTAGTTTTGAATAACTACTTTAACCTTCCTTCATCCAAATATGCAAACTTTAAAGTGATTTTGAGCTTAAATGGCTTACAAATAAAAAAAATCACCATAAAAAACCACATATATCTAGTCTACAAAATGAGATATGCTACTGATGAAATATGAGAGTATAAAGTTGGTAACCTTTATAACCGAAGAATCAATGAAGAAATCGAAGAAAATCTTGTGATTACCGGCGATGAGGAAGAAGAGAGGCCGGCGATGAAGCAAGAAAACACTAAGCTCGAAGTGGCTCGGGCTCGGGAAGGAAGAAAAGCTATATAGGAGGGGACCTTTAGTCCCGGTTAGAGCTACCAACCGGAACTAAATGTCCCTTTCTAGTCCCAGACGGAGCCTCCAGCCGGGAGTAGACTTTTACTCCCGGTGAGAGATATCAACCGAGAGTAAAAGTTAACCTTTAGTTCCGGTTGGTAGCTCCAACTGGGACTAAAGGTCCCCTGCAGCAAAGGTCTGCCGCAGTAGCCGTTGGGCAGGGACCTTTAATCCTGGTTAGAGCTACAAAGCAGGACTAAAGGCCTCTCTAGTCCTGGACGTGAAAAATACCGGAACTAAAGCCAAATTTTAAAGCGGGATCAAAGATCGTTTGTCAACTGGTGCGTAGAGTGAGTGCTCGCTCACTCCCAGCAGTATACAATTGGTGCGGTGCATGAGCGTTGCATTCAAAGTGATCGTACTCTTATCCTACAACCGCTGCAACAAATTAAAACCAGGAAAGACACAGCAGCTGTACGGTGGTAGCAACTAATCTGCTATACTGTAAAGGTGGGCACCTAGTGCTGAATGCCTGTCCAGTGAATCGAGCAAACACATAGTAGACCCTAATATGATCATATGATCTTATAATATAATGTGATGGATCAGAGCAAGACAATCATCAACCACCGTAGATTACTTGCTTGCACGATGATGAAACAAAATAGCATGGAGAGAAAACAAAACTATCGTAGAGCCTGTTTGTTTCGGCTGAATTGGCTTATAAGCCATGGCTAAAAGTACTGCTGGCTGATTTGATGTGAGAGAAAAATAATATTCAAGCTATGGATTATAAGCCAGATACGAATAAATAAGCCGAAATGAATATGCTGCTAGTCATCACACAAGGGCTTCAGATAAGGATAGTCTTCTAGTAGCTTCTCTTCCGAAACAACGT